CATATTTCAGATCAAATGCCAAGACATTCTGAAATGTCGAAAATGTCACTGTAGAATGAGAAGTATAAAAAAATTAAGAATAGAATTAGCCTTGTTCAGTTATAAAGACCACCAGTGTTGTAAGTAAATTGTCTACTCATTCTTCACCCCAAAGTTCACCTTAATGGTGGCTGGCATCATGGTGTTTAGGGTAAAGTTGCCACCTGTAACAGTGACATTCCACATGGGAGCCAGTTTATGTCCTGCATGCTCCACTTCTGATCCAGCTCCCTCCTACTGGCCTGGGAAAAGCAGTGGAACATGGTCCAAGTGTTTGGGCCCCTGCCACCCACATGGGAGAATCAGATGGAGTTCCAGGTTCCAGCCTTTGCCTGGCCCAGCTCTGGCCACTGTGGCCATCTGGGGAGTGAACCAGTGGATGGAGGATCTCTCTCTGTCTCTGTAACTTTTTCAAAGAAAGAAATCTTTTTGGAAAAAAAATATTTTAATCAAGTTAATCATCTCCCGAAGTGTTACAATAGTATGAATTCTTAGGTTATTCGCATCAAATAAGAGTATCAAGAAAAATAAGCTTTCTGCTAGTTTCTACTTATTAAGAATTTTATATCACCATTGGACAAAACAAGGTGGGGAAATAGACTAAAGAGGAGAACAGACTAAAGAGAAAAGGGCACTAAATATTTACAATTAAAAACTAATTACACTAAGACAGACACAAAGTGAAGAACGAAACACATTTTCACTAATATATTCAAGCTCACAAATGACACAAAATAATCAATAGAAATGCAAACACTTTTCCCCAGCTAGCTGAGGAGCAGAGAAGTCTACCAGGCAATAATAAAATGGGTCAGGGGAGCCAAAGGTTAAGGACGCATTTTCTAGTCTCAGAATAATCCAGAGCTAAGTATAAAGCAAACAGTACAAAAATCAAAAAAGAGGGTGTGTCTTAAATCTAAAATTCAGAAACCATAAAAATCCTTATGTGATCTTTTTAAAAATGGCATCTTCAAGCACAGATACTTTCAGGAGATGAATGTCTATGTGTGCACAAGAGTAAGACAATCAATGAAAATTTTCAGAACTAAGAAAATTCCAGTTTATAGTATACATTAAAGTAACTTTCAAAAGGAAATTCCAAATTCCAAAAGATCATCAGGCTAAAAGAAACACAGTATTCAGCTTAAGTGATCATACTCTGCCTTACAGATGATGTTAAGATTTTTAGGCTTTGGGGTTGGCGCTGTGGCATAGCAGGTAAAGCCACCACTTGCAGTGCCGGCATCCCATATGGGCGCCAGTTCAAGTGCTGGCTGCTCCACTTCCAATCCAGCTCTCTGCTATGGTCTGGAAAAGCAGTGGAAGATGGCTCCTGCACCCACGTGGAAGACCTGGAATAAGTTCCTGGCTTCAGATCTGCGCAGCTCCAGCCATTGCGGCCAACTGGGGATTTGAACCAGCGGATGGAAGACCTCTCTCTCTCTCTCTCTCTGTGTGCCTATCTTTCTCTAACTCCGACTTTCAAATAAATAATTTTTTTAAATGCCCAATTTCTAATAGCACATCCTGACTTCAGTGAGATGAAAACAAATTTCCTAGGAAACAATCAATGAGAACATCTTGTGATCAGAAAACTTAAAGCTTCAGAACATTTCATGATCTACAATACATGCACAGTATATACATATATATCTTTTTAAAAAGATTTTTAGGCATCAAGTGGTGGTGTTACTTTTTTCAGACCCCCTCATAAATATACAGTAAGGCTATTTTAAGCCTGCTATTCACAATGAGTGAGACTTGCTGCCTATTTTAGAGGTCTTAGACCTAACAGCACTGTCAAGTGAGGAGCATGATTTAAGTGATTAAAGTGATTATTCTGCTGAATAGAAAATGCTCTTTTTAAACTACTAGGAATTCAGCTTACACTTTACCCCTTTAAAATCCTTTTTTGTGTATCAAAGGAATGAACTATTAGCTAGTATTATTTTCATGAAAGGAGGAGTACTTTCATAAACACCCTTGGCTTGAGTAACCTCATATACTCTTTCACTATAATCCCAAGAGGAGGGTATTAAATGGCAGCAAATCTCTTAATTGACCACTCTATTAAATTCTTAGCTTTTGTTCATTTTAATTTTTGGTGTTTCTCACCTAAGAAACTGTTAACTTCAGTTCTGGAGAGTAGCTATAATCCATCTTCTCCTATAAAATTTTAAAGTTCAAAAGTAATTTTAAAAGGACAAGGAAATGACTAAAATAAAACCTTAAGCATCCAACTATGCCCCCCTAAAACAAAACAGAAATATAAATGTGTTTTTCATCTACCCATCCATCAATCCATACATCCATCCTTGCTTGCTTGTTTGACAACAACCTGCCATGTTCAGGCACTTCATCCTCTAGTCCTTGCTTAGAAAAGACAGTTACCCTTGTTCTACAAAACCTTTCAGTTCAGGAAATTAAGCAAACAAGTGAGTGGACAAATTCTACTTCACAGAGTTTGGAAAAACTACATTCCAACATTATAACTAAAGTAATTCTTTATATAGGTAATTTTCTTATGGAAAAATATTACTCACAAATTAAAAGCTAAAAGAAACTTACCAAAAAGGAAATCAGAAAAAAAAAAAAATCAAAGGGCAATACATATTGAAAGGGCAATACCCACAAGACATTCCCCTTCACTTGCAATCAAAGAAACATAAATCCAAAAAGGTACACACAAAAATAATGAATTACAGAAATCTACACTTAATACACAGAAACATAAAACACATTTTGTGAGGGTGATTTTGTAGTGCTGATATTAAAAAATTTCAAATGACCATATGCTCTTATCCAGCAATAAAATTTCTATGAACTTTCACAAAAATAAGTGTCTTTAATATAAATCCAAAACATGACATTCACCACGAAAAGGAGGCATGTGCAAGAATGCTCACTACAAGCATTACTCAACAGCCAAAAAGAAACACCCACCACCAATGAAAATGAGGCAAATTATAACCTGCTCATGTAACAGAAAACAACGCATCCACTACCAATAAATATACAAAAAACATTAATTTTAAAGATACTGATATAGAGAAAATATCAAAGCTCTTGTAAAAGGAAAATACAACAACTACACAATATGATTCTACTTATTTTCTATGACATTTAGGGACCTTTCTAAAAATATGAGAATTATCAGTTTTGTATTTAAAAGATAACCTATTACAAATGGGGGAGGGATGTACTAGAAAGAATACCCCTAAACTGGATAACAAACAAAATGCTATACCTCTTATATTAAAAACTAATTTATGCATAATCAAAACACAAAAACAAAATTGAAAAAGACTGCAAACATGCTCAACACACCAATATTTGATAATATAGACCAAAAAAGTAAATTTAAACTGGAAGATACTAATCTTTCACTGATTAAGATTTAGATTCTGCCTGATTAAGGAAACTTGATTCAGAAACAGCCATCCTGAAAAATCTAATTTAAAATATTTAAGTTCAAAATATTTATGGTGTAATGATAAAACTTTTTAAAAGCAATTAGGCATTTAATGACTGCTTACATCATTCTCTAAAGTAGATAAATTACCTGATTTACAGATTAAGAAATTATATATATTCAGACTTACTTAATAACTTACATTATCTGCATCTATTCCAAATTAATTTGAAAGATGTAAAAAATATATTCCTTATTACTAATTCAGACTCACAATTAGCTTATTATTTACAAAGCAAAGGTTATATTTTGCCTAGTTTCACCCTCTTATTTTTAAATGGCACCTATCACCTATAATTTACTGAAATAAAAGGTTAGTCATCATAATGTCAAAGTCTGATTTATGTATGTGTACACTATTTGGAAATATTCCCAAGAGATCTAGTCTCAGCTGGACCATACTCAGTTTCTTCATGAACATTATAAAACATGCTTCTAATACATAGAATGTGGATGCTTCTGGGAATGTACTTTTTAAAAAAAATGTCTTAACTAATATTAGTAAGGAAAGATATGCATATGGTTAAATAATTTCAACAGCACAATACCCTACACAGGAAAAACAAATCTCCTTCCCATTCTAGACCTCCAGGTCACTATAATGGACTGACTTCAAGGAAAAAGCTACAATTTCTCCCCAAAAAATGTATTCTGGTAATAGAACCAGAAGCCAAAGCCTAAGGATGTATTTTAAGCAAAATTCCTAAACTCAGACAAGTAGAAACTATAATAACAAAGGGTTAACCACATTATCTAAATCCTGTTTTTAAACCCCTTCAAATAAAATCTGTCTAAATATTAACTCATGGATAATATTCCCAAATTCACAATATACGAGACTGCAATTCTACACCCCAAATCGTTAAATGGCAAACTAAACAATATACTTCACAAACAAATCTTCCCTTAGGAAACTCTAAAAGTATAAAGTCCTAAAAATATATAATTTAAATGAGAGAATGAGACACGACTATGTTCTTATTTTAGGGCACAGTATCTTTTTGTTGTTTTCAAGTGTTTTACAAAGAGCTAAAAATGGTTACTTGTTGGTGGGGGTTGAAGACAAATCCCTCCCAAAATTTCTAAATAAAAACTTACTAAATAATACTTTCATAAATCATTTTCCATTTTAAAATAAATATAACTTCTCTCAATGATACAGAATCTATACAAAGTCTGATTTATAATAGCAAATATAAAATGATACAGGAAAAAAAACCATAAAAATATTTCCTGACAATGAACACTTCTACTTTTGTACCCACTTAAAGTCTGAAAGCCACTGGAGTTCATAAAATGGTTTAAGTTTTTTTTTAAGGCTGTGAATACTTTAAACACATACAAGCTAAAAATCATAAGTGCTGTATGTCACTAGAGACACAGAACTTACTCTGATAATGAATTTCAAACAACCAGACATGGCAAAACTTAAGATAAATCTATGATGTCTCATAAAACTTAAATATTTGAAAGAGTGTTAAGTGCATACCCATTAAATCCAGTGACAATTTTCAGTATTCTTTCCTTCATTTCATCAAAGGGAATATACTCGACATTAGGGTTGGGAGGACCTCTTGGTTCAGGAGCTGAAGTTCTGAAATCATCCATCACTTTCTCCAGTTTGAAAATAAAATAGCCTTTAAATTGGGACCACTGAATCCTACAAGCAAAAAATTGGAAAAATATAATACCATGAAGCTTTACAATTCTTGAATACAAAGTACAAATATACTATACAATGTCACTAATGCTAACAAAATTAAGACCAGAATAAGTAGCAGAGAGAATGTCTGTTCAGTAGCACCCATCATGCACGATCAGTACGACTCACCAAGCTCCAATGGGATTCTACCCAAACCCCCAACTCCTCTGATCCAAACAAAATCCAAATCTCTATTAAAATCTTTACAATGCACTGTCAGTCTGCAAGCCAGGATGCTGGAATTGATTGAGTATTTTTTAAAGATTTATTTATTTGAAAGAATTACAACAGTGGGAGAAAGAGAGAGATATCCTCCATGTACGGGTTCACTCCCTAAACGGCCGCAAGGGCCAGGGCTGGGCCAGGCTGAAGCCAGGAGCCAGGAACTTCATCCAGTTCTCCCATGTGGGTGCAGGGGCCCCAACAGTTGGGCCATCTTCACTGATTTCTCAGGCACATTAGCAGAGAGCTGGGTAAGTGGAGCAGCCGGTATTTGAACTGGCACCCACATGGATACTGGTGCTGCAGATGGCGCCTTAACACCACAGCATCACCTATTTCATTTCAACTCTGCCCCTTATAACAAAGCTAACTAGAGCGGTGTTACTGCTCCACTTAACCATGCCAGAAATAAATTTTTGCACTTAAGCCTCAATAACCAAGCTATAATGCTTACATGGTACAAGTAACATTTCTTGTCTTTTAACTGTCAAACAGCAAAATCAACTTTAATCTGTTTCCTCACTTCTTTCAACTAATATTTTCAGGTTATCAGTTAAGACATGGGTTTATCCAACCAACACTGCACAGTAAAAACAGTTTCTGGGCCAGTGTTGTGGCATACCAGGCTGGGCTGCCACCTACGATGTCGACATCCCACTGGGGGTTTGTGTCCCAGCTGTTCCACTTCTAACCCAGCTCCTTGCTTATGTGCCTGAGAAGGCAGTGGAAGATGGCCAGAGTGCTTGGGTCCCTGCCACCCATGTAGGAGACCCAAAAGTAGTTCTTGGTCTTGGTTTCAGCCCGGCCCACCACTGGCCATTGTGAACTTTAGGGGACTGAACCAGTGGATGGAAGATCTGTCTCTCTCTACAATTCTGACTTTCAAATAAATTTTTTTTTAAAAAGTTGGTTTTAAAGGGAAGGAATCTGGATCTATGCATATCTTTATATTAAAAACGTGTATATAGTTTATACACTTTTCATATCTATTCACTGATTAAATAAACATCTTTCTAGCCATCTTGCCTTACATTTCACCACTAACATAGGAAGAAATTTTGTGATACCTTCCCAAATAGTCTAAATCCCAGGAGATCCAAGAGTCAGAATGTCAACCAACTCTGGAGGCAGGCAGTACTACCATCAGTAGTGGCATAAACAGAATGACTACTTTAACAAAATTATACAAAATTAGAGGAATGTTAATTTGCAATCACCCTTCCATCACATCCAGCACCTTCAGAGGGCAACCCCACAGGGCAGCAGTTTTCAAGCTGTGGTCCAAAACTAAAAGCTTTTTCATGCTGTTGACAACAGAACTGATGGTACAAAAGCAAAGGTAAACCTGATGACATTTTAGCGCGAATCAAGACAGTAGCACCAAACTGTACTCTAACACAGTAGGAGTCAATCAACTGATCTTCACTACTATAAAATCAGTCTTTTAAAAGAGTCTAATTTCACTGAATCTCCAATCTTGAATATACATCTCCTTAAAACTGTGCAACAAAATGAGAAACATACTTATCAAAGCAGTATGAAGTCTCAAGGACTACCTGAATATTGTTGCTAGTTTAAATACCTACTTACTATTATTACAGAATATAGGGAAGGGACTACCATACAAATATTGCTTGCACAGACTAAGAGAACATAAAAGAGATTTTCTCAAAAACGAATGGAGTAGGCTATCATTTCAAGACAAATAACTGACCATGTTTGTTACCAATGATAAAATCTACACTTCTTAAAAAAAAAAAAAAAATCTGTACTTCCAAGCAAAGAACTTAAACTCTGGAAAATTTTTAATCTTCACTGTGAGCCTGGAAGTTTCCTGCTACATTCCCAAGACATTTTGAAAAATGATTGATGTTAGAAGGTATCTTGTGACACAAAAAGACAGGCAACAAAATAAATTTAACCACATCAAAATGTCAAACTTTAAAGTATCAAAGGATACTATCAACAGAGTGAAAACCTACAGGATAAGAGAAAATATTTGCAAACCTTCTATGTAGTTAGAGGTTAATATCCAGAATTTATAAAGAACTGCTAAAACTCAACAACAAAACCTGATTAAGAAATGGGCTAAGCATGGTAAATAGGTATTTCCCAATGGCCTGTATGTATATGGAAAATATAAAAAAAAACCACAAGTAGGGGGGTGTACGGAGACAGTGTTTGGCCAAGTTAAGATGCCATGTCCCTTATGGGAATGCCTGTGTTCCACTCCAAGCTTGAGCTTCAGATCCCAGGGTTCCTGCCAGCACACACCCTAAGAGGTACGAGTTGATGGCTCAAGTAGCTGGGTTTCCTGTCACCCACATGGGAGACTTGAATTGAGTTTTTGGCCCAGCACAGTCCTGGTCTTCTGGGCATCTGCAAAATAAACCAGCAGATGGGAATGCTGTCTCAATCTTCCTGCCTCTTGTATAAATTAAAAAATAAAAACAAAAACCATAATGAGATACCATTTCATACCTACTGGGGTGGCTATTATCCAAAACAAACAAAAATGCAACAAGTATTGGTAGGCAAGGATGTAGAGAAATTAGAACCTTTGTGCACTGCTGGTGGGAATGGTGTGGCTACTGTAGAAAACATGGTTCCTCCAAAAGAAAAGCATAAAATAACCATAGGGACACAGTAATCCCATTTCTGGGTAGATGCCTCAAAGAAGTAAAAGCAGGAATTCATCCACTTGCACACCAATGCTCACAGCAGCATTACTCCCAACAGCCAAAAGGTACAAAGAACCCAAATATCCACCAACTGATGAACATATAAATTGATGGTTACACAACACTGTGGATGTCCTTAATACTTAATACCAATGAATTCTACACTTAAATAGTTTAAAGTTTGCTATCTGCAATATATCACAAAAAGAGTTTTGAAAACTGGACAAAAATGTTGAATAAGCAAGCATTATTCCAAAGATAACAAAAACGAACAGTAAGTGAATAAAAAGATGCAATAAAGACAAATCAAAACCACAGTGAGTTATAAATTTCAGCCCCACTAGGGTAGATATGATAAAAAAATGGAAAATAACAAGTTTTGGTGAGGGGGTGGGGAAATTTGAAATATCACACTGTTGGTGACAATGTATAGTTGCTGACAATGTGTCGTTGCTGACAATGTGTCAGCTGCTTTTGAAAATAACTGAGTAGTACCTCAAAAGGTCAAACATGAAGTTAACACATAAACCAACAAATGATTCTATTAAATCAGTGAATTATATGGTTCCATAAACTTTATCCTAGTCTATTTGGGAAAAAGAATTGGCGATATACCAAGCAGAAGCATCATGTTATAATTTTAATATATTTAATATTCATTTCTGATTAACATAAAATTGCCAGTGACTCCCAAAATTTATCTTCTTTCTAGCTTTTAAAAAATTCAAGTGGTGAAATATTAAGCCTTTGTAAATTTAAAATGTTATCTCAAAAATGGGCGGGGGGATAGCACTATATTCTTAGAATTATATCTATGAACTATATTCAATCTGTTAAAAAATAAAAAAGGGGGGGGAGAGACAGACGGACAGAGCTTGGATCCACTGCTCACTCCCCTAATGCCAACAACCAGCAGGAATGGACTAGGTTAGAGCCAAGAACTAGAAATTCCCAACCCCTGAGCCATCACCTGTTCCCTCCCAGAGACTGTATTGATAAGTTGGAATGAGGAGCCAGAGTCAGAATCAAACCTATGCATCCAATATGGGACAACCAGAGTCTCAACTATTAGATCAAAATGCCCACACCTATCTTTAAATTTTGTAAGATCCTCTACATGCATTTAATTAATAAACACCTGAGGAAAGGTTACAGTTAAATAGGAGTCTTATACTCTTCATTTCTTAAACTTAAGTTTTTGTGGTTTTAATAATCCTAATTCATAATAATTTTTTTAACTTTTATTTAGTAAATATAAATTTCCAAAGTACAGTTTATGGATTACAATGGCTTTTTCCCCCCCATAACTTCCCTCCCACCCGCAATCTTCTCCATAATAATGTTTTTATGAGTTTGAATTTCCACTTACATGGAGTCTTAAAAATCTCATCTTTCAATGAACCAGTCAGGATGACATTCTCAAAAAAATATAGTAATGGGAATAGCCAGACAAGCAAGGGACCCAGGTAAGGGAAATTAGGGGAAGCAAACTGATAAATTATATACATTGCATTTTTTTTTACTTTTATTTATATAGACACACATTATACTTTAATTTCCAAATACATAAAGCTGAGTCACACTAAATTAGACCTAAAAGATATAATTCAAATGATACTGTGCCATATAGATTAAAGCCTTTTAAAAATGTGAAAGATACAGCTTTTTGTTGGAACACAAGCATTTGATGAAAAGAAAGCAAACCGGAAATGCTCCATTGAAAATTATATAATTCAGGCACAAAACAAGAAATGAGTAAATAAACTAAAACTTTGGCAACAAAAATAAATTTTCTTAGGAATGTACTCACTGGCTGAGTACAAACTAGAAAATATTTTTAAAAACCTTATTTTTCATATGAAAATGAAATTATTCTAAACAGATGCTTGTGAAACACTGAGATTAGAAATTAATTAATTTCTCACATAAACTCTACTGTGGCCCGGGAAGGCAGTGGAGGATGGCCCAAGTGCTTAGGCCCTGCACCCACATGGGAGACCAGGAGAAGCACCTGGCTTTGGATCGGCCATTTGGGGGCTGAACCATGGGAAAAAGGAAGACCTTTCTCTCAGTCTCTAACTCTGCCTCCCCCCCCCCCAAAAAAGTGCAGTTTTATCTATGGTGCGATCTACACCCTGATTTACATCCCAAGCTCTAGCCCCCACCGCCATTGCTGGAAGCCAGGTGGCCACATGGCCCAATTGCTGTTGTCAAGCTCCACCCCCATCCTAATGGGATTCGCGGCTCCTGCTTCCCTGCCTGCCCTCGGGCAAAGTTTTAAAAGGACTTGTTCCTGAACAGGTGGCTCTCTTGGCTTCTCTCCTGCTCTCTTGGCTCTGTTTCTCTGCTCTATCTTCCCTCCTCACTATCTCCTCTCCTCTGTCTCTCTTATACTCTCCTCTCCCTTTTCCCTCTTTGCCCCTTCGCCCTCCTTCCCTTACTCCGGTGTCCGGTGTGTTCTGTGACGGCTAACACTCAGAATTTACTACTTTGCTAAAATTAACTGAAGAATTCATTGAAATTCATGACATTATCCTTTCTGCAGTTTCTCCTCTAGGAAAGCCCAAATAAATGTGTCTTCCTGCTAAATTCTATACTAATTCCTTCTTCACTGGAAGTCACAAGTCCACATGGTTTTCATTATTCTCTAGAAGTTAAAAGGCATTTTTTTGAGTCTTAAGAACAGGAAACCCATCTTTTCTTTTCCCAGTTGATGCTAGAATTTAGTGGCCAGTGCCCAAACCTAACTTGTTAACCAAAGAGCACACAGGAAATCCATTACTAAAGGGATTGAAAGTATTGTACCATTTGTAAACATCAAAAGGGAGCATGAGAAGAATGAATGAATGAAACAAAACTCTAAGGGGGTTATCACTCATGAAAGCTAACAGTCTTTTAGAACACTTAATCTTCCAAAACAGATATTTGCATCAGAAGACCTAGAGCGTCATTAGTTATACGGTTACGGAAAATAAAACAAGTGTGTTTAATCTGAATATTGAATTAAGTGAGTAAAAGACTGACAAAAATAAGAGTATGTTAAGAACTGTGTACATAAACATGACACTTTTAGGAACTAATTTTAAAATAAAAATTATCTCAGAAAATTCCAAGTAAGGACCCCGAAAAAAGTTCCTTTTGCATTAACATATATCACATTTTGATTAATCGAACATAAAAATCGTTCAGTGGAATAGGAGACTGGAAACATACCCAATTAGTACTTCCATACCTATCCACCAATCCCATGGATACCAAAATATGTGGATGCTCAAGTCCCTTATATAAAATGACATAATATCTGCATGTAAACTACATTATTTCCTTCTTCATCCTTTGAATCATCTGTAGATTACTTATATAATGCCTAATATAAAGTAATCATTATACTGTATTGTTTAGGGAATAATGATAAACAGTCTGAACATGTTCCATATACGTATAATTTTTTCTCTTGAGCAGTTCTAATCTGAGGTTGTTAGAAACCATTAATTTGGAACCTGTGGGTATGGAGGGATGACCTGCTTATGGCAACTTGATACAGAGGGAAGAGCACACCCGTCAGCAAACAGAAATATGACTACTCCAAAACAGTACAACAATATCTTGGTTTTCTCTTTTATGATTATATCAATAGTTCATAGTCACTGCAAAATATTAGAAAATACAGATAGAAAAATGCAAATTATCCATAATATGTCTGGTGACATAACTAAAGTACCTTTTTTTTTTTTTTTGCAAAACTGTATTACACTCATTTATTTATCTTCCCACCTAATTTAATATGGGTGTTTCTACGGACCAAATAGCCTTTGAAAGCAAGAGTTTTAATTGCACTACACATTTGTGCTACTATTCACCAACCACTGCTGAAAAACTAGGTGGCTGGTAGCTTATTTTAATTAAAATAATTCTATAGTAAACATTCTAAAAACTACCTTTGTAGGCATCTATCAGCTCAAGACAGATTTCTATAAGAGGAATTAAGTCAAAACTATCAAGTATACATATCAAGTTCTTTTATTAGACCTTCAAAAAACCTCCTAGATTCAATGCACTACTTATAACGCCATCAGTAATGTATAGAAACACCTATTTTATTTGAGCATGGTAACCGTTGAAAATTTTGTTAATAGGAGAAAAACACTTAAATGTGCATGTCCTTCCTTGTTAGTAAAACTGTGTATTTTCATCTATGCTTATTGGCCATAAGACATTTTTTTGTATGGTTAACAGATCCTTTGCAAGCCCTCAGCCTGTGGTTTCTTTGGCACTGTAAATAATGACATTTTGAGTCAGATTAATTCTGTCATAGGGAGATGTCCTGTATCACAGGATACTGAGCAGCATCCCTGGCCTCTACCCACTAGAAACCATAACAAACTCACCCACCTCCATTTGTGACAAGAAATGTCTCCCAACATTGCGGAATGTTCCCAACACTGCTCCTTGTTAAGGATCACTGCCCTATGACACATCTTTAAAATTATTTTTCTTTTTCTTACTCTCATGGTATTATGAAAAAATTATGTGATACAAGTAGGAACTAACTATTGGATTCTCATTTTGTATTGCTTCAAAGATAAAAACTGTTCTTTTTGATAGAAATTTTAAGTGATATTAAAATATTTCTAGCTGTAGCCATTTTGAAATTATCTTTGAAGAGCTGGTGTTGTGGCACGGCCTGTGACATCAGCATCCCCTTCAGATCCAGCTACCTGTTAATGCTCCTGGGAAAGCAGCAGATGACCCAAGTGTCTGGGCCCCTGTCACCCCTGTGGGACACTAGGATGGAGTTCCTGGTTCCTGGCTTTGGCTGGTCCAGTCTCAGCTGTTGCAATCATTTGGTGAGTGAACCAACAGAGGGAAGACATTTCTCTCCCTCATTCTCTATAACTGCCTTTCAAATAAACAAATAAAAACCAAAACAAACAAACAAACAAAAACTTCCGTTTGAAGATGACATGGCACCAGACTCAAAGCAATAAAGTTTTATGCAAATTCTGCCATGCCAAGTGAATTTTTCAAGATTGCTAAATATTTAATGTTGGTTGGGCACATAAAAGGATCTAACTGGATAGAAAAGAAAGCTTCAGAAGGTAACACAAACTTTCAGATAATACCTCAGTGTAATCTTGGGTTTCTTTCTTGGCAACTTGTATATTCATGAAGAATTTCTAAGTGCCTGAAGATTCAAGTTACTATCCATCCACATCCCCATCCCTCCCTAACAAATGAAACGAAAAAAGAAGTACCAGAAATAGTATGTTACAGTTAACGTAATTTTTGCTTAACTCTTTAGCCTTTGAGCCCTATTGAAATTATCCCTAAAATCTATTAATGCAACAACACAGGGAACTTGATTCCAAGTAAGTGGCTGAACCAAAGGTTTACCTCCTCTAATTGTGTGACTCAAGCCGAAAACCGCCCACTCAAGAGGTTTTAACTAGCACTAACTTAATAGCTGAGCTGGATGTACTTTTTAACCCTCCAATTTTCACCACAGCTGCTACCAGTTCAACCTGCTGACAATAGGGACTGGTTCATTCCTTCTCCCCAGCATTTGCCAGAGCTTAACTAGACCCTTTTTTCTATTCCACAAAGTCAGTTCATAACATTAAGGTCATCAGCTGTTAAAAAGTACTGAAGGGGTAGGCATTTGGTGCAGCAGTTTAAGTTGCTGCTTGTGACACCTGCATTCCAAATCAGAGTTCCTGGTTTGAACCCCAACTCTTCTGTTTCTGCTCCAACTTCCTGCTAATGCCCAGGCTGGAGGGCACAGCGTGTTGGTTTAAGCACCTAGATCTCTGAGAGCTGAATGAAGTTCCAGGCTCAGGCTCCAGCGTGGCCAGCCCTGGCTGTTGTGGGCATTTGAGGAGTGAACCAAAGGATGGAAGGTCTCTCTCTGCTTTTCAAGTAAAATGAAAATATTTTAAAAATGACCAAGCAAGACTAACATTGTGGCATAGCAGGTAAAGCCATCACCTGCATCGCTGGCATCCAATATAGGTGCACCATCCTGGCTGCTGCTCCACTGCCGATCCAGCTCCCAGCTAATGTGCCTGGGAAAACAAAGGACAATGACCCAAGTGCTTGGGCCCCTGCACCCAAATGGGAGACCTGGAAAAAGTTCCTGATTCCTGTCTGGCCCAATCCTGGCCATTGTAGCCATTTGGGGAGTCAATCAGCAGATGGGAGTTCTCTCTGTCTCTTCCTCACCCCTCTCTGTAACTCTGCCTTTCAATTAACTAAAATAAATCTTTAATAAAAAATTACCAAATAAGTATATTAATATTATGGAAAGCACTGTTCTGTATCACATACTCTCAAAAGAAGAAGAAATAATCATCAAAGGCAAAGTACCTACCAAAAGAACAACTTGTACTTTGGTCCAAGGACTGTCTGAACATGTGGAAAATAAACAAATGCAACACTATTAAATGGATAATCTCCCCTGAAAATCAACATCTACATATGACAAAATTAAGAAAAACTGGAAATTCTTTTTAGAAACAACACAACAGGGGCAGGCATTCAGGCTAATAGTTAAGACATATTTCCAATCTGAGTGCCTGGGCTCAATTTCAAGCTCTAGCTCCTGACTCCAGCCTCCTGCTAATGCCAACCTTGGGAGCCAGTGATGGCTCATGTGATTAGGTTTGGGAGACCCATACTGAATTCTTGGTTCCTTGCTTCGGCCACCCCAGGCTAATACAGGCACTTGAATAGTGCACTAGCAGATGGAACTCTAGCTCTCATCCTCTGCACCTCTCAAAAAATAAAAACTTAGAAGAGACACTTGTTTTTCAACGCAGAACTACAGATCCAAATTATCCATTAAATGAGTGGGTAGTTTGGGTAGAATACATTTTCAGACATTGAAAGCACACAAGAAACTGTCTGCTATTTTGTCTTCTCTCACTCCACCAAAACAACGAAGTAAACCAAAGAAGAGCACATTTTGCAATGTAGAAATCTATGAATCAACATCAAAGAAATGAATCTCAGGACTATGATGAAAGGAGTTCCTTCATCATAAGATGCTAAGATTTTCATATTCACCATAAAGATGTCAGGGTGACAGCAAGTCTAGAGAGCAGCCAACTCAGAGGAAGAGTGAAGAGGTTCCACAAGAGATTTTTAAAACACAAAACTGACAAGACCTAACATAACTCAATATATTCCAAGGATAAACAAACTACTAAAATTTTGGACTTAATTAATTTACCATTAGTAAGTAGAAATCTAAATGAAAACAGTAATCACACAGGGGACATATTATTAAGATACCAGTTAGGGGGTCTGTGATGTGGGTGGCATAGTGGGTAAAGCCACTGCCTGCCAACAATGCCGGTATCCACATATAGGTGCTGACTCATGTCCCCACTGCTACATTTCCAATCCAGCTCCCTGTTAATGGCCTGGGAAAAGCAAAAGATGGCCCGAGTGTTTGGGGCCTCTACCCCACCTACATGGGAGATGGGGATAAAGCTCCTGGCTTCAACTAGGCTCAACCCTGGCCACTGTGGCCATATGGGAAATGAGAAGATCTCTGACTTTCAAATAAATAAATCTTAAAAACAAACAAAAAAGGATAACAGAATATCCATATCCTGTATCAGACATCTCTGCTCCCAATTCTAGCTTTCTGCTAATGTGTACCCTGGCTGAAGTAGTTGCATCCCTGCCACACATGTAGAATACCTAGAATGAGTTCCAGGTTGCTGGATTCAGTCCCACTCCAACCCCAACCACTTCAAGCATTTGAAGAATGAACCAGAGGATTGGGAGCATTCTCTCCGAAAAAGAATAAGCTTCAAAAAAAAAAGAAGAAGAAAAAGAAAGAAAGAAAGAAAAGAAATAGCACTCACAGAGATAGTGAAAACAAAAAATACTGACCTTACCAAAAGTTCAATATACTTATATTGGAGAAGCTGGGCAATCAAAGTAGGAGGTATGTATGTATGGAGTAAAGGACAGCAAATTTTCACTTTCATTGTAACAAATCAGCAACTAATAAACAAAAGCAAAAACATAATATAAGACTACAACTTAAAGAGGAAGGTAACCCCAAAAGGGTATTTGTAAAGTGGCTGGGAGTAGGAAAAAAGGAAAGCACAGCAGACATTTTTGTGACCTAGGTCATATGAAGGAAATAATTAAACCACACGCCTATTACCTTTTTCACAAAGTAAAAACTAAAACTGGCGGTAAAAAGTAAAAACTCTAGCCTCTCTCTGCTTACCCACCTGTGAAGACTGAAATCATAGTACCATTCTGCACCATCTACATGATGGTGATCCTATAAAATTGGACTTGAAATTGGCCCTAAAATATTCCTATTACCTAGGGATGCAGCTGTCATTAACACTGTAGTGCCACATTACAAGACTCATGTGTTTGTGGGTAATCATGATGATGTAAACAAACTAATGTACTGCCAATCTTATAATACCAGAACAAATACAATTATATAAGAACATAGAGTATTTCATGTAATCATAGTAAATGATTGTTACTAGTTTATGTATTTACTATACTATATGTTAGTCATTATTTAGAGTATATTCCTAACTTATTGAAGAATGTTTACTGTAAAAGATTACCACATCCACCTGCGGCAGCCTGATCCATCTTGTGTCTACCATCACCTCGACTTAATCAAGAGGCTGCACCCAAAGGGTTGACCTATACCATCTAGGTTTACCTAGGATGGTCACACAACGGAATCAACTGATGACAGACTTCTCAGATTATACCCCTGTTGTTAAGCAACCCACGACTGTATTTACTTTCACTGTGGTGAAGATTAACAAGAGTGTAAGCAGAGTGCTTAGCCAAAGTGGTTCATACCAAGTAAGCACTCAATGGTTGCTATGACTCAAGAAGCAACAGGAGAGAAATGCAGAGAGGTTTTGGGATGAGGGTAGCATTCTGAGACAGCATTAGTAAAAAGAACTGAACAGTGAGAGGTAACTGTTTGCCTGGGCTTACACTATACTACACTGTCACATAACAAATAACTTGGGACAGTCTCTGGCCTAGAAATACTTCCACTTAAGTCCTCCCTTTATTTTAAGGAGAAACTTCTCAATACTGCTTTTCCATCCATTCACAAAACTGCCTATTTCATTTTTTAAAATATAAAGAAAATACTTCAACTTAAAGAAAAGCAGAGTATAGTTTTATATTTATGTAAATATATATTTATAGTTTGATGAGCAAGAAGACATATATATATGTGTGTGTATATATATATGCACTTACTCCAAAAATTCTTTTGACCCCACCAAGATTTCCAATCCATTAGTCCTACTAACTTTCTACCGTCCTCCATCCTTTTGGTATTTCCCTTCAGTATCCAGTTTAGATTATTGTACCTAATAATCACAATCACTTCCTAACACACATTTGACTCTAGTCCCTCTTGGGCTTCAATGTACTCGGAAAAAAAAAAATCCACTTCACTAGTGAAATGCAACTCCCACTAAATCTGTGCCTACACAAAATGGGGAAAGAAATAAAGTAAAAGAAAAATGCATCATACTGGATAGCCTTAAGTACACTATTATGTTACCAGACAATGAGACTTCCCTAGTCTATTCACTTGCAGGTTTCTAAATGATTTCCTCTTTTCATCCCATCCTCACTCTGGATCCTCAATGACCTTGCTTCTGGTTTCACTTTAAAACTGGGCCAGTACTGTGGCTCAGAGGGATAAAGCCCCAGCCTGTGGCTCGGGCATCCCGTGTGGGCGCTGGTTCCTGTTCCAGCTGCTCCTCTTCCAATCCAGCTCTTTGCTGTGGCCTGGGGAGGCAGTAGAGGATGGCCCAAGTCCTTGGGCCCCTGCAACTGTGGGAGATCTGGAGGAGATTCCTGGCTCCTGGCTTCGGATCAGCTCAGCTCTGATCGTTACGGTCATTTGGGGAGTGTACCAACAGAATGGAAGACCTCTCTCTCTCTCTGGCTCTACCTCTCTGTAACTCTTTCAAATAAATAAAATAATTCTTTAAAAAAAACAGAGATCAGATCATTAAAAAAATAATAATACTAAAGCAATGGAAAGGGAATTTCCAGAGTCTCACCAATTACTCCCTAGCATGTACATATACACACACTGAATTCCTATCTGTTACTGCAGAAGAACTGTCCATAAGTCCATCTCCTTACATACCACATTTGTTCACCTACTCAAGAGCATCACCTGAGTAAAGCTCCCCTTTATCTTATCAATCGCATCCGTATCAGCTTTTCACTCACTAATGGATCATTCCTTCTCCAAACCTGTTATTTCTCCCATCTTAAAAAAATGTTTACTTCACTTACTCTCCTAGTTTCCACATCATTTATTTGCTATCCTTAAAGTAAAATTCCTAAGAAGTTATTGCTCTCCCATTATCTCTCAAAACCACTCCAGTCAAGCTTCCAACCCCTCCAATAAAACTAATCTGTTTTACAAAAAATTTATTTGAAAGGCAGAGTTAGAGAGAGGTAAAGGGAAGAAGGGAGGGAGGGAGGGAGAGAGATGGAGTCTTTCATGCACTGGTTCACTCCCAAGATGGCCACAACGGCCGGAGCTGCTCTGATCCGAAGCCAGAAGCTTCTTCTGGATCTCCCACTCTGGTGCAGGGGCCCAGGTACTTGGACCATCTTCTACCGCTTTCCCAGGCCATAGCAGATTAGAAGGGAAGTGCAGCAGCTGGGACTCGAACCAGTGCCCATATGGTATGCCAGCACTGCAGGCAGCAGCTCTACACCACAGCACCAGCCCTACTAATTTGCTTTTATGCAGTCACCAATGAACTCCCACCTCATTTTCATAGCCTATCAGGAGTCTTTCACATAGCTATCACTTCATTATTTTCCTGGGTTTTATTTGATCTCACTGGTCTTTATTGCTCTTTTCCTTTTCTGGTTTCCCAAACTGCTTCAAGTTGGAGAATGCAGTAGCTCAGCCTATCCCTTCTCTGTACACACTTGGTGATCTTATCAAGTCTGGAGACATTCTTTTAAACAAGATTTACTTTATTTATTTGAAAGTCAGAGAGAGAAGAGATACATA